TTGATGTCTATGTCAGCTTTTATAAACTAGCTACATGACACAATAACTCAACACTCATTTGTGGATGTGCCTTTGACTAAACACCCTTGACCGACGTCTTATTTTGGCTTCAGATCACTAAAAGTGCGACTTTTGCACAAGAGAATCATGAAATTGTTTAGGGTTTCGTTGACCCCTTGTTAAATCAGTCATGGTGTGCATTACTTCCTAAAACTAATGAAAGTAAACCTCCCAAAAGTCTACCAAGAAGGTTTATAATAAAAATGTATATCGTAAAGAAGGAAAAAATTACACAAGAGGTGTCAATACTTGTGTGTGTGAAAAAAATATTTCCCTAATGTCACGGATATTCTAAGGTTGCATGCACGCACACGCACGCGCGCGCACACACACACACACGTGTGCGCGCGCACACACACACACACTCACACACATGCGCGCGCGCGCACGCACGCACGCACGCACGCACACACACACACAACACAAAATAATTGCGATATATCAGGCAGTTTAAAAAAAAATGTCTCACTGTGTTCTTCTATTGTTGAATGAACTATAGTAATTAGTGGTGAGTTAAACAGATTATGATTGGTTGTTTCTTTTTAAACTCTCCAATTCTTCACTAATTGTAATTCTGATGAACCAAAAGATTCCCAAGAAGACTATGATCTCAAAAGTTTGTTTTTAATGTGTGGTAGCTGCAGCTTTTAATTTTATAATTGTTTGCTGTGTCCTATTCATGTCTTTCCTTTACGGTTATGATTCTCAGGCAGTGGCAGACGTGAACTGAAATCAAACAGTGAACCTAAAAAAGCTGCATTATTCATGCAGAATGTGAACATTTAACAACATCTAACATATTTCTTGAGACTGAACATCATCAAATGTCATGCACATACTCTCTAAACGAAGTTGTTTTTAAAAAGTTCCCGGAAAAGTCAGCTCATGTTTGAATAATTAAGACAAGAAGATCATAGTTTTAAAAGCTGATAATGACCTTGTGGAATGACATGGCAGACATGACCTTCACATTTATTCTAGAACAGAAGTCTGCTTGTGTTGTGCATGTGGCATAATCGGAGTTCACTCTTTGGTTCAGCAACGTACAAATGTCCAATTCTGCTTGAGAAGCCATCCCCAGAGACAGTAAGTTTGCTTAATAAAGCTTATGTTAATGAAGACATGGCAACTTTGTTAGTGGCACAAGTATTTCCACGAAGACTGCGTTGGTTTTGATGAAAATAAACCTAGTGCGTGACCTGCTACCATGATAAACAATGGAAACATTGAGCATATTCAGAAAACTATTTGTGCTGACGGAAGACTTCAGGTCAAGAATATAACCTCAGAAGTTGAAATTTTAGTTGGTATTTGCCATATTATTCTCCTCACTGACCTGCACATGCACCGTGTTTTGTCAACACATGGTTCCCAAAATGTCATCTCCTGAACAGAAAGATGCCAGAATGACACTGCCAGCACCAGGAGACCAAAGCATGAAGACTGATCAAGACAGCGACTGACTCAACAACATAAAATAGGAGACGAGACGTGCTGGTTCTGGTATGACCCGCTGACAAAATACCAGTTTTCTGAATGGAAATCAGTTGAATCAGAATTTGTTGTTTTTTAAAATATCCAGGGTATTGTCTATTGTGATTTGATTCCTGGACCATGCCTACCGAGATGGCAGTTGTTCTTCTGCAATCGTCACGTACTTACAACATAAATGACAACGCATGTCGGTTACGCTGATTATACAAAATCCCACACCATCTACACATCTAAAATGTCACAATTAACAACAACTTCAAAAGCAACAACAGTCGGCTGAATATCTCAACGAACGCCAAGTTGAGGCTGTGAAATTGTCTAATGTATTGACAGCGTGTCATCGGATGTCAGAAAAACTCTTGATAACAACATCTCTACTAAAGAGGTCTTGCCAAATTCTATTTGCAGAGTACCGGTGATTAGAGGATGAAATATAGCACTGAAGCTTTATCGATCCAACATCAGATCTCAGGCTATGCTTGGGGAATGCTGATCCTAACCATTTTCAGTTCTCTCGCTTACGTTCAGGCAGTAATTTGCCTGTACAGAAGTGGACATTCTAAGGTTATTATTGTGCAATAAAGGTCAGCTGAATTCAGGTTTGTTTCCTATCCAATCTGTTCTTGGCAACACTAACAATGACTTGTATGTAGCATGTATATATACTGCCAACCCGCCATCACTACCATTACATTTATCCATACCGATTTTCAGAGTGTTAAAGGAGTATACAGTCTACAGGTATGTCATACAATTTAGCAACTTGTTGGCGTTATTCGTGTCGAGGTGCACATTTGACAGATATGAGTACAAAAAAGTCAGCTCAAAGTTTATGTTCCAGGACACCCAGCTGAAAACAACGTCTACGTGGTCATCAGCTCACCTCGATTTTTTGAGATGGTAGCTATTATGATTAAAAGGTCTTTTGCCTTTCTACGACTGCGCACTGTAGTTTTTGGAGACTCCTTTTATGACATTCTACACAACAAATGTGAACTTGAACGGGTGTGTCATTGTTGCTCTGATGATCCCTGTCTTGTGAGAACAGGTGGATGTCATTTCCTGCTGGCTTCAAAAGTTGGGATTGTCTGACCAAGTTTGATCCTGAAACATTTGGTGAACACTGCGACTCAATGACAGCCCGCAATGTGTGGCAACTGGGCTGGCAAGTTTTTCTTGGTGTAACCATGCGACAGGCTCCTGTGTCAATGGATGCAAAACCGGCTACTCTGGACTCACATGTGATATGAAATGTGGTGTTGGAATTTATGGTAAAAACTGCACATCATCATACAGCCCGGGTTGTGAGGCATCCAGCGACGCAAACATATCTTAATGCAACCATTCAATTGCAGCTCTTACAAGGGCTGTAAGAATGAATTCACTGGAAAGACTGTGAAACCATTAAGAGGGAGCCCCATATTTACTACACAGCAGTCATTGTAGCATTATCTTTTACTTAGATCTGTTTCAAGAGAATCAAACAAAGCCTGTGGAAGAAAGGACAGCCACTCCTGGCCAACCTAGAGGAGAAAATAATGGCCCAAAATCCATTGTAAAACAATAGAGAGATTCCCATGAAGTAATTCAGCTACAAAGACAAGAGAAACAGTTCACCTTACAAGGCAGGGAACATTTTTTTACATCAGAAACAGATTTCTAACACCTGTTCTTAACACTAGAGAGACAATGAGATAGATGACACCACAAGAGGAACAATTCAAAACACAAGACTGAAACTCTGAACGCAAGAAATACAACTTATGAACAAGAAAGAAAATTCCCTTTACAAGATACACAACTCATGTTGCAAGTGGGGCAAACTCCTAACACAATAGAGACAATTCCCAACACAAGATACACAACTCATGTTACAAGTGGGGCAACTCCTAACACAGGAGAGACAATTCCCAACACAAGATACACAACTCATGTTACAAGTGGGGCAAACTCCTAACACAGGAGAGACAATTCCCAACACAAGATAGATGACTCATGTTACAAGTGGGGCAACTCCTAACACAGGAGAGACAATTCCCAACACAAGATACACAACTCATGTTACAAGTGGGGCAACTCCTAACACAGGAGAGACAATTCCCAACACAAGATACACAACTCATGTTACAAGTGGGGCAACTCCTAACACAGGAGAGACAATTCCCAACACAAGATACACAACTCATGTTACAAGTGGGGCAAACTCCTAACACAGGAGAGACAATTCCCAACACAAGATACACAACACATGTTACAAGTGGGTCAAACTCCTAACACAGGAAAGACAATTCCCAACACAAGATAGATGACTCATGTTTCAAGCGGGGCAACCCCTAAAACAGGAAAGACAACCTAAAACAACAACTGTTTGAACGCTGGCAAAAGTGTATTGCTGCCAAAGGAAACTATTTTGAAGGAATGTAGTGTAAATAATTGCAGTTACTTACTTCTACACAATACACAAATTCCGGGAACTTGTTGCAGCAATCTTCAATAATATGTCTGCAGGGTGCAGAGACATGGGCTACAAACAAGCAATTCCGAGTAATTCAGAATAAAAAAAAAAAAAGAATTCACTGACCAATGACAAGAAAGCTCAATGAAGAGAAAACTTCCTTATTTTGTGGTGCTCGCCGATAAAGGTTTCAGTGAAAACCTTCTCCTGTTTCTCTGTGTGTTCTTCCTTTAGCCCTCATTGAGCTCTTAGTCATATAGTTCAACTGCATTCACTTTCTGATATTAACTCGACTAGACTTCAGTAACCTGCATTTCAATTACTGGAGTAATTTAGACAGTGTAAAAGTAACATCTAAAACTGCAATTGCTAGATCTGCTTCAGCTGTAACATCTAAAACAGCAAGTGCTAGATCTGCTTCAGCTGTAACATACAAATTACTGTAAAGAATATGGAGTAAATTAGAGAGGATAAGCTACATCTAAAACAGCAAGTTGCTAGATCTGCTTCAGCTGTAACATACAAATTACTGTAAAGAATATGGAGTAAGTTAGAGAGGATAAGCTATATCTAAAACAGCAAGTTGCTAGATCTGCTTCAGCTGTAACATACAAATTACTGTAAAGAATATGGAGTAAGTTAGAGAGGATAAGCTACATCTAAAACAGCAAGTTGCTAGATCTGCTTCAGCTGTAACATACAAATTACTGTAAAGAATATGGAGTAAGTTAGAGAGGATAAGCTACATCTAAAACAGCAAAATGCTAGATCTGCTTCAGCTGTAACATACAAATTACTGTAAAGAATATGGAGTAAGTTAGAGAGGATAAGCTACATCTAAAACAGCAAGTTGCTAGATCTGCTTCAGCTGTAACATACAAATTACTGTAAAGAATATGGAGTAAGAGAGGATAAGCTACATCTAAAACAGCAAGTTGCTAGATCTGCTTCAGCTGTAACATACAAATTACTGTAAAGAATATGGAGTAAGTTAGAGAGGATAAGCTACATCTAAAACAGCAATTTTCTGCACTGCCATTCCTACATAATCTCCATATGCCATTCTATCCTCATCCACATGGTAGGCATGAAGGACCCCATTGCCAAACAAGAAGAATGTACGATCCCAGAGACCAACAGTCCTCATCACATGACTAAAGGTTTCTGGAATGGAACAGATTTCTGTCCACTGGTTTGATTCAATGTCGTAGACTTCACAGTTGTAGCAGTCGCGGAAAACATGCATGCCTGGACCATCGACCAGCGTGTAGCCACCAAAGACATACAATTTACCATCCAGTTCTGTCATTGAATGTCCCTGTCGGTTGTATAACATATCTCTTCTAGACTGCCAGGACATCTGGTCGATGTTATACCGCCAGACTGTGGTCATGGGTACACTATCAAATGGGTCAGCACTTATCCCTCCACTAACATAAATACAGTTGTCATCAAATGCGGCCGCTTGGTTGTAAGAACCTGTTGGCAAATTTGTTAACAATTTCCAGTGGTTTTCACGAACATCATAAACTTCAACGGATGAAAGAATAGTGTCTTCATCCCCAAGTTCTCCAACTGTGTGGTCGATGCCTCCAATGACAAAAATTCTATCTTCAGATGCACAAATAGCATGAGAGACTCGTGGCTCATTCATGTCAGCCAGTTGAATCCAGTTTCTATACCTCGGGTTGTAGCGACAGACATGCACACTGCTACAAACACTTTCATCATAGCCTCCAGTCCGATACAGAAAATTGCCGACTTTGACAATGCTGGAAGAATCAAACTCTGTCTCTAGCCCTGAACTAGCAAGTTCCTCAGAGACGCGGGTTCCAGAAGCAATATTCTGATATGTGACCGCACAAACATCTGAAGAAAATGTGAACATCACAACACTGGGCATAGCTCCTCGAGACCGGAACCTTTCACCTACAAGAGAAAAGAAAGATCAAGAGACAGTCAATACACAGCTGCGGTGTTTTCTATCAAATACAAATATTAAATTATTTTTTTTTTTACAAAACTTCAGGCCACTGGTAATAAACCCATACTTGTTGCTACCAATCAGTAGGTACTTGATGAAAGATGTGGCCAATATCAAGCCTTTTCTTCCCAAGGTATTTCCTGGTACAAATGTTAGGCTGAGTTGACCAAGGAACCCCAGTCAATTATAACAAATCTGACCTTTATGCTAGCGGAGCCTCTAGCCACTGTGTAAACACAACCCCCCAGAAATACAAATGCACAAAATATTAACTCTTTTACTCCAGAAAGTGTCTGCAAAACATCTGAAGAGGACAAGTAAGTATTATGAACAATCGAGTATGTAAGTTTTCATATAGCTAAATACACAGTAGAAGTAGCTACTGGCTAAGCCAGGTTTCTTTGACCTTCCCTGACCAAATAGAAATATAATGTGACTGCAAGAAGAACCTGCCCTGACATCACAAGTCTCAGACAACCAAAACGGAGAACCTGCCCTGACATCACAAGTCTCAGACAACCGAAACATTCCAGCAAAAAACAATGTATGGAGATTTAGGGCCTGGATACTGGAAAGCCAAACTGACAGCACCTTTATGCTGAGATTGGTTTCTGGAAATCACAACTGACCACTTCCTGCCAACAAGCACCTTTATGCTGAGATTGCTTTCTGGAAAACACAACTGACCACTTCCTGCCAACAAGCACCTTTATGCTGAGATTGCTTTCTGGAAAACACAACTGACCACTTCCTGCCAACAACGCCCTATATAAACAGGAGAGAAAACCCTGGAAGACTATGTTCAAATACTCAATAAGTCATTGACATCCAAGGAATACTTACATGTTGATAGTAATGAGAACATACAGAAACAAATGAAGAAATTTATTTGCAGGACACAACTATAACCGGTACTGCTCGCTGTAGGTTGAATGTGGTCAATTTTTCTTTCAAAAATGGATGGATGGATGCTAGAATTGCCAGGGAAGAGCCAATCATACGTGATGTCAACTGGGCTAAAAGAGTTGTGACAATCCTAATGCCACAGCAGATAAAGCAGTCAGTTGTGTATCCTTGACAGGACATTGCCACCCAAGCCCAGCATTTGTTGGCTGTTTGTGGTTTTACTAGGCAATTTCACTTTCATTAGTTTTCTACTGCCTCTGAACTGTCAACTTTCTATAAAATTGCCCAATTCAGCCCAATTCAACACAAAGAGGTCTGCTGCCAAATCACCTGCAGCTGAATCAAACTGGAAACTTTGGAATTACAAACTACATTTGCAAATTTAAAACCCCAGACATAGCAACATGGATGTTAAAGGATGGTTTCACACACATGCTATGTCACACAGCTTATGGAACTGAGGGGACCAGTTCATTTTCACATCACTCTTTCCCTCTCCACTTTAGCTACCTACATTAGGTTGCACTGAATTAAAGAAACTTCTGTGCAGAACATGAGTTAAAACTGTATTCTCTGTGATGAGGCAATGATCTGAACTAACTAACAGATATAAAAATGACTTTAACCATTGTGCCCCGGCAATTCTTGGCACACATAAAAAATTCGTTATGCAAAACATTTTTTAAAAACTATCATTTGACCCAGGTCATGAATATATTTTTAAAAACATTTACTGATAAACATGTAGGGGTCTAACCCTCTATGCCTGAAGGTGTGAAAAGAGGTCCTTCACTCAAACATTTCGAAACGACTTGTGAAATAAATGAAGGCGAGTAATCATTTAAAAATGAGTAAAGGGAGAGGAGAATTAAATGGACTACATTTCTTTAGACCTAATCATAATTTACAAAGTAACTCCTACCGTGACTGCATCGATAAGTCTACTGGCAAATTAGCATGTCATTATGACTAAGAAGACAATTTTTTAAAACAAAAAACCCTTCCTTATCCAATGCTATTTTCAGTAAAGATAGCCATATCTAACCCTCCTTCACACTGTGGGTGAAAACAGAACCAATGTCATTAACTAGGCTGTGTGGAGACAGGCAATGCTAGTTACGCAGCATTTACAAGAGGTTTGTAACAAATGGCAGTGTCAGGTTCGTGGTTTCTCTGGGTGAAAGGGTTCGGTGTATTTATATTTGAGTAGATGTCAGCAAACCTTTACACAAGCTTTGAGCAGGAATGTTGTTGTTATAATATTTGGCTTCCTCAACAGCATCTTGGATTTCTGGCCATTTCAGAAGTTGACTGGGTATTGTTTCCAAAGATTCAATATCCATCAGTGGGAATCGAACCAGACGCAACAATGGCAGTAGGTAATCTTTACGCTCTTCTTTCTTTGCATCCACCCACCTGCAAAAAAACCAAAATTAAAAAATAAAATAAAAACACAATTTCAAACTGTCTCTAGGCCAATGTAATTTACATCAAACTTAACATGATTACTATTGAGCCTCTCTTCTTGTTTGTCTTCGTGTCTGTCCTTGCTGAACCAGTAAGAAATGGTAACTAGACTGTCAGTTCACATACAACCTACAGTATTTGAGCCACCTGAGCAACATATTTGATGTATCCAAGGTACTGGGTTAGCTTTCCTGAGCAGAATTATAAAAGCTTCACTGAGATGATTTCATTTTCTTTGCACCAAATCTGAATCCAGCAGTCAGAAGGTCCAACTGAGTCTCTGGATATACAGAAGAATAGGTCGCATTTCAAGCAAACAGAAACAGGCTGATACAAAGGTTCTAGAAAAACTTGGAACAAAAAGGAGTTGCAGAAATAAATAAAAAAAACACACGTGAAATATTCTGGCCACATTAAAATAATTTTGTTGTTTAAAGTTAGCATTTATTGGCTGTTTGTGATGTTACTAGGCAGTCTTATTTTCAATAGTTTGCATCTGCTTTCTGAATGGCTGGCCTTGAAACCTCTATCAAAATCAAAGCAAAGTGGTCTGCTAACAAATCACTCACAGCTGGAATCAATCAAACCGGCTATCTCAGAATTGTAACGGTATTCACAATGTGCAATGATTGTGTGTGTGGGGGAGGGGGGTTGTAAAGCTATAAACCTCTTAGTGTATGTAAGTAAATGTAGGTAAATGTAAGTACACCGAAAAAATGCTAGATCAGCAGGTCTCATAGCAAGGAGCGCTTTTTATAATGAATGTTCTTGGTGGAGTCCCTTATTCCTACCAACTTACAAGCTAATGGCACTAGAAAGTATTGTTATGGAGCTGGGCACAAGAGTTATTTAACTCTTTGAGGACATTTCGCCAGTAAACCAGTGTATGAATCTATCCCTAACGGACTAGTAGCCAGTAAACCAGTGTATGAATCTATCCCTATCGGACTAGTCGCCAGTAAACCAGTGTATGAATCTATCCCTATCGGACTAGTCGCCAGTAAACCAGTGTATGAATCTATCCCTATCGGACTAGTCGCCAGTAAACCAGTGTATGAATCTATCCTATCGGACTAGTGGCCAGTAAACCAGTGTATGAATCTATCCTATCGGACTAGTGGCCAGTATACTGGCATATCAGTCAAAAAGTAAGGTAAGCACAACATTTTTTTATGTAAATAAACTTCATATGTGTCTAACATCCTTGAATGTTGTGTGATTTTATTAAAATTTTGTCGTTATACTGACATTGAAATAGTTTAGATTTATTCTGCACTTACTTATCTTTAATTTGATAGATATATGTCCTGAGACAGCCGATGCTTCTTCGTTAGGAAGATTTTAGCTTTGTTGTGTTGCAATAAAAAATGTCCGCTAAAAATGAATGCTGTCCAAACCACAGAACAAATGTGGTCTCAAAATGAATGCTGTCCAAACCACAGAACAAATCTGGTCTCAAAATGAATGCTGTCCAAAACCCGGAACAAATGTGCTCTCAAAATGAATGCTGTCTAAACCCCGGGACAAATGTGCTCTCAAAATGAATGCTGTCTAAACCCCGGGACAAATGTGCTCTCAAAATGAATGCTGTCTAAACCCCGGGACAAATGTGCTCTCAAAATGAATGCTGTCTAAACCCCGGGACAAATGTGCTCTCAAAATGAATGCTGTCTAAACCCCGGGACAAATGTGGTCTCAAAATGAATGCTGTCTAAACCCCCCGGGACAAATGTGGTCTCAAAATGAATGCTGTCTAAACCCCGGGACAAATGTGCTCTCAAAATGAATGCTGTCTAAACCCCGGGACAAATGTGCTCTCAAAATGAATGCTGTCTAAACCCCGGGACAAATGTGCTCTCAAAATGAATGCTGTCTAAACCCCGGGACAAATGTGCTCTCAAAATGAATGCTGTCTAAACCCCGGGACAAATGTGCTCTCAAAATGAATGCTGTCTAAACCCCGGGACAAATGTGCTCTCAAAATGAATGCTGTCTAAACCCCGGGACGAATGTGCTCTCAAAATGAATGCTGTCTAAACCCCGGGACAAATGTGCTCTCAAAGACTTAAACAACTGCACAATGGTCATGCCATGAGATTATATTTAAAAAAAAATTCACCACAAGAGTCAATTATTTACTCTCAAATACCACCAACACATCATTTGGTTTCTCAAATACCACCAATGCATCATTTGGTTTCTCAAATACCACCAATGCATCATTTGGTTTCTCAAATACCACCAACACATCATTTGGTCAACACTTGGTCAAACATAACAATGCTTCCACAGTTCAATAAATCAAACCATTCACCTTACAGTAGATTTCACATTGCTGGTAACAGCAACAATAAGGTTCATAGAATAAGGAATAAACATTGAATGGAACACATGGGGTTGTATTGTCTTGCACAGCTGTCTTATTTCAGGTCAACTGATGATAACTTCAGGCCAATATCTGCTTCTGCATCTAAATGGCTTCTGTTATTTTGTTTAACTGTATAAGCTTCACAGAGATATGAGGTTGAGAAGGGCAAGAAAACTAACTATGCTTCCTCTGTCAAGATTTTCAGTTAATCTTGTAAATGCTATACAATCTCTGGTAGGCATTGGTTTCAAAATGTGATATTTAGTTTGCTGTGAGATGACAAATCTATCAGGGCTTCATATTCTGTTGAGTTTAAGCTGGGTGTGTTTTTGTGTGTGGTTCCCCCTGAACACACTCAGTACTCACTGAAAGTCATTAAAAACTTTCTATTGAGATGTCAGGGAAAAAATATTTAAAAATGAGTCTTTCAAAGCTTCAAGAAATGCCTGAATATTCTTCTGTATTTTCTTTTGAACCTTGATGTTATTTTCAGTCATGAAGCTTTCTGTAAGAGGTAAACAACTGATATCTTTCTTGTCCATACACTCCAACCAATAAATAAGTTTACTCTTAAAAGAAGATACTTTGGCATTGCACACAAAACTGTGACAAGGACAGATTCATTTAGGTCATTGTGATAAACACCTCGGCTGAATTCATCAGTGTGCACACCCAGTCTTCAACATGTAACATCGTTGTGAATAACCACAGTCGCTTGTCTATAATTAAATTCTGACAATGGTTCCAGAATTATGACCCATCATTGCCTTTTGCATCATCAATACTTATATCTACACAGTTGTCCCACAATACTTATATCTACACAGTTGTCCCACAATACTTATATCTACACAGTTTTCCCATGGTATTAGATTTGATGAGAAGAATTTATCAAAAAGATTCAATATTTCGGCAACAGATGTGTTGATTGGTAGTAGTCTGCAAAGAAAAAGGTCCTAATGAAAGCTTTGTGAATAAACATAATGAACAAATTCCATTAAAACTGCCAAACTGGTGATGCTAGCAGTACATCCATCTGTAATGCCAATGTGGTAGAATTGATGCCAGTCTATTTCATGTACCAAGTTATACTGCTGATGTCTCATTTCTTAATTGTTAATTGCAGTAGATTTTTATGTATTTTCCTGGAGTGGCTGCGGAGCCCTGGGGAGTGTAGGCAGAGTGGCTGTGGAGCCCTGGGGAGTGTAGGCAGAGTGGCTGTGGAGCCCTGGGGAGTGTAGGCAGAGTGGCTGCGGAGCCCTGGGGAGTGTAGGCAGAGTGGCTGTGGAGCCCTGGGGAGTGTAGGCAGAGTGGCTGTGGAGCCCTGGGGAGTGTAGGCAGAGTGGCTATGGAGCCCTGGGGAGTGTAGGCAGAGTGGCTGTGGAGCCCTGGGGAGTGTAGGTAGAGTGGCTGTGGAGCCCTGGGGAGTGTAGGCAGTGACTATGGAGCCCTGGGGAGTGCCAAGGAGCCATGAGGAATGTACACAGAGTGGCCAAGGAGCCCTGAGGAATGTACACAGAGTGGCCAAGGAGCTCTGGGGAGTGTAGGCAGAGTGCCAAGGAGCCCTGGGGAGTGTAGGCAGAGTGCCAAGGAGCCCTGGGGAGTGTAGGCAGAGTGGCTATGGAGCCCTGGGGAATGTACACAGAGTGGCCAAGGAGCCCTGAGGAATGTACACAGAGTGGCCAAGGAGCCCTGGGGAGTGTAGGCAGAGTGGCTGTGGAGCCCTGGGGAGTGTAGGCAGATTGGCTATGGAGCCCTGGGGAGTGCCAAGGAGCCATGAGGAATGTACACAGAGTGGCCAAGGAGCCCTGAGGAATGTACACAGAGTGGCCAAGGAGCCATGAAGAATGTACACAGAGTGGCCAAGGAGCCATGAGGAATGTACACAGAGTGGCCAAGGAGCCCTGAGGAATGTACACAGAGTGGCCAAGGAGCTCTAGGGAGTGTAGGCAGAGTGCCAAGGAGCCCTGGGGAGTGTAGGCAGAGTACCAAGGAGCTCTGGGGAGTGTAGGCAGAGTGGCTATGGAGCCCTAGGGAATGTACACAGAGTGGCCAAGGAGCCCTGGGGAATGTACACAGAGTGCCAAGGAGCTCTGGGGAGTGTATGCAGAGTGCCAAGGAGCCCTGGGGAGCGTAGGCAGAGTGCCAAGGAGCTCTGGGGAGTGTAGGCAGAGTGCCAAGGGGCTCTGGGGAGTGTAGGTAGAGTGCCAAGGAGTCCTGGGGAGTGTAGGCAGAGTGCCAAGGAGCTCTGGGGAGTGTAGGCAGAGTGCCAAGGAGCCCTGGTAAGTGTAGGCAGAGTGCCAAGGAGCCCTGGGGAGTATACGCAGAGTGCCAAGGAACCCTGGGAAGTGTGAGCAGAGTGCGAAGGAGCCCTGGGGAGTGTATGCAGAGTGCCAAGGAGCCCTGGGGAATGTACACAGAGTGGCCAAGGAGCCCTGGGGAGTGTAGGCAGAGTGCCAAGGAGCCATGGGGAGTGTAGGCAGAGTGCCAAGGAGCCCTGGGAAGTGTAGGCAGAGTGCCAAGGAGCCCTGGGGAGTGTACGCAGAGTGCCAAGGAGCCCTGGGAAGTGTGAGCAGAGTGCGAAGGAGCCCTGGGGAGTGTAGGCAGAGTGGCTATGGAGCCCTGGGAAGTGAAGGCAGAGTGCCAAGGAGCCCTGGGGAGTGTAGGCAGAGGTGCCATGGAGCCCTGGGGAGTGTAGGCAGAGTGCCAAGGAGCCCTGGGAAGTGTAGGCAGAGTGCCAAGGAGCCCTGGGGAGTGTAGGCAGAGTGCCAACTGGGAACTGCTGTACTAGACTAATATATACATGGCACTGGATGGTCACAATCATACCAACCACCTTAGCTTCCCAGGACACTACCTGGTACCCATAATTTTTATAATAATGACTGAATGCAGGTTCAAACCCGAGACCTTCTGGCAGGCTGGTGAGCATCTAACCACGGTGGCTACTACTTAGTGTATGACCCAACCAAATATTCTCTTCATAATGACAGCTAAGAAAACAATACAATTATACTGGAATCTTACTTTGTAACAAGTTCCAGAACAAACTCCTCCTCTGCATCAACATACACATCCTCTTTGAGAAACTTGGTCAAAAGTTCCAAGTCAAAGTTGACATAGAAATCCTCTTCCTCTGACAGCTGAATGAGATTCTGACCCAGGAAGTGAAATATGTCGCCCCGTAGGTCGCCCAGTAGATACTTGTCAGCCAGCTGTAAAACTGACTGATAGTTGTCGATGCTGAGTTGACAAATGAGGTAATCACAACACACTTCAACCACCCAGTCAGCCTGCAGATTCAAACAATGATATGAAATTTATGGCAAAGTTAACCCTTTGACCAGAGAAAAACCTGCAAAAACAAACCTTTTTCACAGAAACAAAAAAAAAACAAAGACAATATAATTTTCTGAAACTCTACTCTAAAACATGAGAAGTAGAGGGAAAAGACATTAGAAGTAGAGGGAAAAGACATGAGAAGTAGAGGGAAAAGACATGAGAAGTAGAGGGAAAAGACATGACAAGTAGAGGGAAAAGACATGAGAAGTAGAGGGAAAAGACATGAGAAGTAGAGGGAAAAGACATGAGAAGTAGAGGGAAAAGACATGACAAGTAGAGGGAAAAGACATGAGAAGTAGAGGGAAAAGACATGAGAAGTAGAGGGAAAAGACATGACAAGTAGAGGGAAAAGACATGAGAAGTAGAGGGAAAAGACATGAGAAATAGAGGGAAAAGACATGACAAGTAGAGGGAAAAGACATTAGAAGTAGAGGGAAAAGACATGACAAGTAGAGGGAAAAGACATGAGAAGTAGAGGGAAAAGACATGAGAAGTAGAGGGAAAAGACCTGAGAAGTAAAGGGAAAAGACATGACAAGTAGAGGGAAAAGACATGAGAAGTAGAGGGAAAAGACATGAGAAGTAGAGGGAAAAGACATGAGAAGTAGAGGGAAAAGACATGACAAGTAGAGGGAAAAGACATGAGAAGTAGAGGGAAAAGACATGAGAAGTAGAGGGAAAAGACATGACAAGTAGAGGGAAAAGACATTAGAAGTAGAGGGAAAAGACATGAGAAGTAGAGGGAAAAGACATGAGAAGTAGAGGGAAAAAAAAGAAATCTGAAGTCTTGGTCAGTTTTTATAAAAGTCCAGGGACTTTAAGCCTATGACTTCCAAACAGACAGGCAAGTTTGCTGCCCACTGACATAGAACCACCTATGTATCTATCTTCCCATCACTGCTTTTACCAGAAAAACTGGTTTTGTGAGTTACCATGTGGAGCAAAGTGACATCTTAATTAAGTTATTATGGCATCACAGTGACATCATCATTTCAACCCCTACTAGGGATTACTCCTTTTCATTTAGCTCTCATCATAGTCTGCTTCAAAGAAACAGGGTCTCTCACCAGCTCTCTCACCAGCTCTCTCAACAGCTCTCTCACCTCATGTTGTTTCATATTTAAGGAGTGACCTATATTTTGCACCCATCTTTGTGTTGGTCAACCCCTGCCTTCTGACATTCTTTCCAAACCGTCATGGCGCTTGATAAGACCAAAATATTTCAGCTTCTGAAACAATATCCTGCTGTTTATTTTCAAATCTTTCTTGATGCTCAGATCTGTTAAAATATCAGCATTTCTTTTCTTCTTTGATTAAAATGATACCACCCCCCCCCCCCCCCCCCCCCCACACACACAAAAATATAAATAAAGAAAGAAAAGGTGATCCCTGGAAACATTAAGCTCGAATGCATTCTCAACATGGTAACACACAATTCATTCATTCATATTCCCCATACATCAGATATTATTGTTTGCTCCAGTTGGCACTTTCAACTCTTTATTATCAGCCCACACATAACATGTTCTTAATGTCTTCTCACATTTACACTGTTAGTACTTATAATTGATTCTTTACAAAATACATCATACGCTCATTAAATTCTCTAAACAACATTATGGGCCAGAAATATGTAATGATGATTTGTTTCACTGTTAAATGGTAATGTTATTCAATTTAACATTTTATGGATATGATTGTAACAATTTAAAAAAACAATGACCGCTGACAAAGCAATGTTTCTTCACTGTTAAGCTGAACAGGCAAAGTGAACAGATTGAGCATTTCATCTGAGTACAAAACACATTGTGCAATATGGTGTTTATGTCTTCTTTGTTCAAAATGTCAATGGTTCTAAAAGAAGAGATGGCATACATACCTGAAAGAACCTGGCTGCCTCCAAGACATCATCTATAGATTCTGGGTCAAGAGTCACATGGCCATGGTAGAAGTAGTCCAGGATTAGGGAGAATCCATTGGGTGACATTTCTAGGAGCTCGATAACATCCTGCTCCTTCTCTAGCATGTCATGACTGAACATGGCAGAAAAGTAATCGCTGGCCTGAGAGAGCACCTGAGGGAGAGAAAATGGCAGAAAAGTAATCGCTGGCCTGAGAGAGCACCTGAGGGGGAGAACATGGCAGAAAAGTAATCGCTGGCCTGAGAGAGCACCTGAGGGGGAGAACATGGCAGAAAAGTAATCACTGGCCTGAGACAGTACCTGAGGGGGAGAACATGGCAGAAAAGTAATCGCTGGCCTGAGAGAGCACCTGAGGGGGAGAACATGGCAGAAAAGTAATCACTGGCCTGAGACAGTACCTGAGGGGGAGAACATGGCAGAAAAGTAATCGCTGGCCTGAGAGAGCACCTGAGGGGGAGAACATGGCAGAAAAGTAATCGCTGGCCTGAGAGAGCACCTGAGGGGGAGAACATGGCAGAAAAGTAATCGCTGGCCTGAGACAGTACCTGAGGGGGAGAACATAGCAGAAAAGTAATCGCTGGCCTGAAAGAGCACCTGAGGGGGAGAACATGGCAGAAAAGTAATCGCTGGCCTGTGAGAGCACCTGAGGGGGAGAACATGGCAGAAAAGTAATCGCTGGCCTGAGAGAGCACCTGAGGGGGAGAACATGGCAGAAAAGTAATCGCTGGCCTGAGAGAGCACCTGAGGGGGAGAACATGGCAGAAAAGTAATCACTGGCCTGAGACAGTACCTGAGGGGGAGAACATGGCAGAAAAGTAATCGCTGGCCTGAGAGAGCACCTGAGGGGGAGAACATGGCAGAAAAGTAATCGCTGGCCTGAGAGAGCACCTGAGGGGGAGAACATGGCAGAAAAGTAATCACTGGCCTGAGACAGTACCTGAGGGGGAGAACATAGCAGAAAAGTAATCGCTGGCCTGAGAGAGCACCTGAGGGGGAGAACATGGCAGAAAAGTAATCGCTGGCCTGAGAGAGCACCTGAGGGGGAGAACATGGCAGAAAAGTAATCGCTGGCCTGAGAGAGCACCTGAGGGGGAGAACATGGCAGAAAAGTAATCGCTGGCCTGAGAGAGCACCTGAGGGGGAGAACATGGCAGAAAAGTAATCGCTGGCCTGAGACAGCACCTGAGGGGGAGAACATGGCAGAAAAGTAATCGCTGGCCTGAGAGAGCACCTGAGGGGGAGAACATGGCAGAAAAGTAATCACTGGCCTGAGACAGTACCTGAGGGGGAGAACATGGCAGAAAAGTAATCGCTGGCCTGAGAGAGCACCTGAGGGGGAGAACATGGCAGAAAAGTAATCGCTGGCATGAGACAGCACCTGAGGGGGAGAACATGGCAGAAAAGTAATCGCTGGCCTGAGAGAGCACCTGAGGGGGAGAACATGGCAGAAAAGTAATCACTGGCCAGAGAGAGCACCTGAGGGGGAGAACATGGCAGAAAAGTAATCGCTGGCCTGAGAGAGCACCTGAGGGGGAGAACATGGCAGAAAAGTAATCGCTGGCCTGAGAGAGCACCTGGGGAGAAAATGGCAGAAAAGTAATCGCTGGCCTGAGAGAGCACCTGAATTCAACAGCAAATCAAAGTTAGGGCTAGTTAGTAAAGGACTGCAACTAACTTTAACCAGTGCAGCAGTTAAGTGCCTTGGATTATTAACACAAATGTCTGCTTTTAATCCCTAGTAGTGGAGACCTTGTCTGTTCTCCTGACTAGTGTTTTACAGGGAGCTGTTGTGGCACAGTAGTTGGTGATGTTGTCTGTTCTCCTGACTAGTATTGTTTTACAGGGAGCTGTTGTGGCAGAGTAGTTGGAGACCTTGTCTGTTCTCCTGACTAGTGTTGTTTCAACATCATTGCTGTGACGTTAAGTCATGAACTCCTTTCACTGGAAACCATCTTGATTGTCTTGATATCTATGTATATATTGAAAATATTACATGCATTCTCAGAAATTTTCATGGCTGACTTGGGTGTCCTTGTTTCACCATTCTAACTGTCTAGTTTTATGTTTGTGTGATTAATCAGTGTAATCTGTGTTAACGTGGCTATGATAGTATACTATCATAACCTGGGGGATAGCTTTTTATAGTAGTGGGGGTGTCCAGCCAAGCGTGCCTAGGAGTATTAGATATTCTGTAGTGCTAGAGCTTGAGTTGCCCTACTCCTGAAATAAGATGGGCGTATACTGGCCACGGGATAATCCCTTAGACCAATACGAGCCAACGCCTCAACATTATTATTTCAGAGTGCTGTTGGTTCTTAAGGAGAAATCCTTAAATCAGGCGGTATGTGACAAGTTGGACAAACAGCAATCTGGCACGTGACATGAGCTGTATGTGACAAGTTGGACAAACAGCAATCTGGCACGCAACGCGAGCAGTATGTGACAAGTTGGACAAACAGCAATCTGGCAGTGTATATCCAGGGCAAAAGAGAGAGCATGCCGGAGATCTGTTGCATCCAACCTTCACTGTGGAGACGGTATCTGATTGATGGACTGATCAGACATCAACATAGAGCAGCTTGTCAACAGATGTTACTTTTTTAATTTTGCATGTTTGTCGCCCATACACACTAACACCAACACAAAGAATAAACTCCCCCTCAGCCCTCTTACAAATCCTAAAAGAGTCTAAGCTTTGTTTAAGTGTGTAATATTACAAATACAAAAAAATCTGCTGACTGGCAAATGTATGTAATAATATCATCATCCTCAATCAGAAGGTTCTTTACAGAAGGTTGCTCTCGTCACGGCACATACCAGACAGTCTCTCTCTAGCAAATCTCTTCAGGGCACATACAGGACAGTCTCTCTGTGGCCAATCTCTTCACGGCACACACCGGGCAGTCTCTCGCTAGCCAATCTCTTCACAGCACACGCCGGAGAGTCTCTCTCTGGCCAACCTCTTTACGACACACACCGGACAGTCTCTCTGTGGCCAATCTCTTCACGGCACACGCCGGAAAATCTCTCTCTAGCCAATCTCTTCACGGCACACACTGGAAAGTCTCTCTCTAGCCAATCTCTTCACGGCACATACCAGACAGTCTCTCTGTGGCCAATCTCTTCAGGGCACACGCCGGACAGTCTCTCTCTAGCCAATCACTTCACAGCACACACCGGACAGTCTCTCTCTGGCCAATCTCTTCACAACACACACCTGACAGTCTCTCTGTGGCCAATCTCTTCACGGCACACGCCGGAAAGTCTCTCTGTGGCCAATCTCTTCACGGCACACACCGGAAAGTCTCTCTCTAGCCAATCTCTTCATGGCACACGCCGGACAGTCTCTCTGTGGCCAATCTCTTCATGGCACACGCCGGACAGTCTCTCTCTGGCCAATCTCTTCATGGCACACGCCGGAAGTCTCTCTCTAGCAAATCTCTTCACGGCACACACCGGACAGTCTCTCTCTAGCCAAATCCTTCACGGCACACACCAGACAGTCTCTTTCTAGCCAATCTCTTCACAGCACATACCGGACAGTCTCTCTCTGGCCAATCTCTTCAGGGCACACGTCTGAAAGTCTCTCTCTGGCCAATCTCTTTACGGCACACGCCTGAAAGTCTCCCTCTAGCCAATCTTTTCACGGCACACGCCTAAAAGTCTCCCTCTAGCCAATCTCTTTACGGCACACACCTGAAAATCTCTCTCTAGCCAATCTCTTCACGGCACACGCCTGAAAGTCTCCCTCTAGCCAATCTTTTCACGGCACACGCCTAAAAGTCTCCCTCTAGCCAATCTTTTCACGGCACACGCCTGAAAGTCTCCCTCTAGCCAATCTTTTCACGGCACACGCCTAAAAGTCTCCCTCTAGCCAATCTCTTTACGGCACACACCTGAAAGCCTTCCACTAACCAATCTCTTCACGGCACATGCCTGAAAGTCTCTCTTTAGCCAATTCTCCAGCCCTATGCTTTCATATCCGATGCATCTTAAATTTCATGTATTCACATTTACTGAGGTTGGCCTCTGCCTCTTTTTCCAGAAACATCACCTTCCATCACTGTTCTCACCAAGCCACAATAACACTTCACATGGTCAAAAAATCTCTGCTTTTGGGAGAGGAAGCGGTTTATGAGACAATTCCCCTCTATGTTCAAACTGTGCAGGATGTCGATGTTTCAGTTTAATAATAATACATTTGAAATATAAAAGATAAACAATTCCTTAAAAAAGATAACTTCTCTACATCCCTAACCTATTCTCTTTGGGGGAGGCCTTGGTTGTAAAACTGATGGAGCTGAGTTGAGTTGAGCTGATTCAAGAACCACCGACATCATAGCACTCTGGGCATTCGCATAGGCGCCTCTCTGCCCCCATCTTCAGCAGCAAGTTCCAATTCCAATGGTGCCAGTAATTCTGATTAGATGTCCATCTTGCCTTTCCTCTCAGCGCCGAGCATCGGCCTGAACCTCTCATCACTAGCAGCTGCACCACTCTCACCAGACTGGTGATCTATTTGCTCCTCCAAATAAGAAAAAAAAAAAGTTCTCCCACAAGGCCCTAACCATGTCTGCCTTATCATGCATCAATATTCAACCAAGTTGTGCAGAGCCAGGCAGTCTGTCCTCTATTCCTTTCCCAACACGCTGGCAGACGCTGACAGATAAAGGGATGTGGGGCCCGTCAAAGTGCCCAAGTCGCTAGATTACAGGGCCCCCAAGTCATACACAGATGTACACTCACCTACACAGATGTACACTCACCTACACAGATGTACTCACCTATACAGATGTACACTCACCTATACAGATGTACACTCACCTACACAGATGTACACTCACCTACACAGTAGTACACTCACCTACACAGTAGTACACTCACCTACACAGATGTACACTCACCTACACAGATGTACTGTCACCTACACAGATGTACACTCACCTACACAGATGTACACTCACCTACACAGATGTACACTCACCTACACAGATGTACACTCACCTACACAGATGTACTGTCACCTACACAGATGTACTGTCACCTACACAGATGTACTGTCACCTACACAGATGTACTGTCACCTACACAGATGTACACTCACCTACACAGATGTACTGTCACCTACACAGATGTACTGTCACCTACACAGATGTACTGTCACCTACACAGATGTACAGTCACCTACACAGTATACACTCACCTACACAGATGTACACTCACCTACACAGTTGTACACTCACCTACACAGTTGTACACTCACCTACACAGTTGTACTGTCACCTACACAGATGTACTGTCACCTACACAGATGTACACTCACCTACACAGATGTACTGTCACCTACACAGTTGTACACTCACCTACACAGTATACACTCACCTACACAGATGTACACTCACCTACACAGATGTACAGTCACCTACACAGATGTACAGTCACCTACACAGATGTACTGTCACCTACACAGATGTACTGTCACCTACACAGATGTACTGTCACCTACACAGATGTACTGTCACCTACACAGATGTACTGTCACCTACACAGATGTACACTCACCTACACAGATGTACTGTCACCTACACAGATGTACTGTCACCTACACAGATGTACTGTCACCTACACAGATGTACACTCACCTACACAGATGTACTGTCACCTACACAGATGTACAGTCACCTACACAGTATACACTCACCTACACAGATGTACAGTCACCTACACAGATGTACTGTCACCTACACAGATGTACAGTCACCTACACAGATGTACAGTCACCTACACAGATGTACAGTCACCTACACAGATGTACAGTCACCTACACAGATGTACAGTCACCTACACAGATGTACAGTCACCTACACAGATGTACAGTCACCTACACAGTATACACTCACCTACACAGATGTACACTCACCTACACAGATGTACAGTCACCTACACAGATGTACAGTCACCTACACAGATGTACTGTCACCTACACAGATGTACTGTCACCTACACAATGTACTGTCACCTACACAGATGTACTGTCACCTACACAGATGTACTGTCACCTACACAGATGTACTGTCACCTACACAGTATACACTCACCTACACAGATGTACTGTCACCTACACAGATGTACTGTCACCTACACAGATGTACTGTCACCTACACAGATGTACTGTCACCTACACAGATGTACTGTCACCTACACAGATGTACTGTCACCTACACAGATGTACTGTCACCTACACAGATGTACTCACCTACACAGATGTACACTCACCTACACAGTATACACTCACCTACGCAGATGTACACTCACCTACACACACAAATACACCTTATATCCACCCCTATGACTACCTACTGAATTTCACTGTGGTATAATTCTCTACTGACCTCTCTATGAGCCTTAAAATTGGCATTGCCAACCCGAAGCTTAATATCACACTTGTAGTCATACATCTTGGCATTCACCTGTTGAAAGATAACACTAGTTATCATATCATCGTATGCGTAGATTATGTACAAGTAAAGAGAAGGACATTTTTGTATCACTAATGCATCGAGTATGTGATGCCGGACTATTTTTGTATCACTGGTGCATCGAGTATGTGGTACCAGACCATTTCGGTATCACTAGTGCATCGAGTATGTGGTGCCAGACCATTTGTATAGACCAGTCTGTACTCGATGGATGATACGGTCAATTCCATGCCTGCTGCCTGTTCTTCTCATATTTCCTGATACCCACTTTAGGCTAAGAGAGCCCCTGTGGTGCAGTGGCTAGATGCTCGACTGCGAACTGGAAGGTCGTGGGTTTGGGTCCACACTTTTTCAAAAGTGACCCTGGCTCCCACGTGGATCCAGCCTTGAATGGGGTATCAGGCAGAGTATGGGGAAGTGAAGGCCGTCTGCATGAAGCTGACCACATCCCCCCACCAAGTGCTGATTAGTTTACAAAATATAGGTCTAGCCCTATATGCTCAACATGCCTGAAGGTTCAGAAATTGAGCTTTACTTTAGGCAGGGCTTATCTGATTAGTTTATAAAATATAGATCTAGTCCTTGACTTTAGGCAGGGCTCATCTGAGTTTATAAAATATAGATCTAGTCCTTTACTTTAGGCAGGGCTCATCTGATTAGTTTATAGATCTAGTCCTTTACTTTAGGCAGGGTTTATCTGATTAGTTTATAGATCTAGTCCTTTACTTAAGGCAGGGTTTATCTGATTAGTTTATAAAATGTAGGTCTAGTCCTTTACTTTAGGCAGGGTTTATCTGATTAGTTTAAAAAATATAGATCTAGTCATTTACTTTAGGCAGGGCTCATCTGATTAGTTTATAAAATTTAGGTCTAGTCCTTTACTTTAGGCAGGGTTTATCTGATTAGTTTATAAAATATAGATCTAGTCCTTTACTTTAGGCAGGGTTTATCTGATTAGTTTATAAAATTTAGATCTAGTCCTTTACTTTAGGCAGGGTTTATCTGATTAGTTTATAAAATATAGATCTAGTCCTTTACTTTAGGCAGGGTTTATCTGATTAGTTTATAAAATATAGATCTAGTCCTTTACTTTAGGCAGGGTTTATCTGATTAGTTTATAAAATATAGATCTAGTCCTTTACTTTAGGCAGGGTTTATCTGATTAGTTTATAAAATATAGATCTAGTCCTTTACTTTAGGCAGGGTTTATCTGATTAGTTTATAAAATTTAGATCTAGTCCTTTACGTTAGGCAGGGTTCATCTGGAAGGACAATTTTTCTATTTCATTTCATTCACTCTTAAAAAGACGGGTAGCATGTTGTGTTGTGGTAAACAGCTAGGTGAGATATCTAGGTCACTCAGTCCAACACATCTGAGTTCAGCAAAACTGGTCACCTTTTCACCACATGCTTGTTAGGGGCAGCCGGCTTTTTTATCACCCCACCCCCCGCTTCCTTTTCAAAGGGGACCCAGAATCCACCACAGTTAACTTATTTCCAACTTCTTTTATTTGTTCGAAATGGACTTCTATGTCTGCAATGTTGTCTCTAGTATGAACTTTACTGCCTTTTGTAATTCACTCAGTGACCCATACAATTGTGATTGCACTGATGTTTCTCTTGGCCAAAAGTTTTGCCTTGACATGTCATATTTGGGACAGTCTTGGAGAAGGTGATTTTAAATTCTGTGTACATTTGACTGTCAAGTCGACTGTGCCCAGTTCTAAGGTGTAGAACTTATTCTTCAGTACATCCACATATTCAGGGCGCTAACTAACAGCTTGGCTTGTAAACAAAAGAAGTTTATGACAGAAGATGCATACAGAATGAGTAGCACTAACAAAGCAGGAAACCAGATCAATAAAAATACGATTGTTTTAACATGTGTCAGCACTTGCCTAACAAGTCCTCTTCTTGCAATCACTGTCTGTGATGACTACAATACCAGGTAAGTTCTAATGATGAATCTGATTTTGGAGTTCCTCTTCAGTTTTTTAGGAAATGTTTGCTGATTCAGGGAGGCACTATGCAGCTATAAGGCTTAGAGGTTAGTTAATGCATTTAACAATTTGACGATCCTCAAGTACTGCAGTTCAGTTCTGCGAGGGATGGTTTATTTAAAAAAAAAAAAAAAACAACCCGGACAATTTCTGGACTGTGCTAACAAGACCGGGATCTTATCATCATCAGGTGCCTTGCTGACTGGCGTGGGCGATCATGCCTCTCCATAATCTGCGATCTCCTGCAGCATGTATCTGAATATGTATTATTTTGAGGCATGATTTTCTTGGGATAGTACAGCGGTGGTTTCCCCTTACCTTCCACTGGTTTTTATATGGTTTGACTCCAATAGCCTTTGTCTAAAGAGACACCCTGCAAGGCAGCAGGAAGGGGGGGGGGAGAGAGGTTATGGCGCCTCTTACCCGCCGATGGCCATGTCGTAGAGTTTTGAGGTATTTTATAGAGTTAGCTATCCCATCAACTAACTCGCCTCCTCTCAATGACCATCACTTGTTTTGGTCCACGCCCACTTATATACTCGTGGCTAATCTCTATATCTAGAGGTCTTTCCACCATCCGCCACCTGGTGGACGCGCCTAGTAGTAGGACAGGCTCCTACCCCAGGACCGGGATCTGAACCTGCAATATTCCCAAAGGCAATAAATGAGTACACTGTAGCCAACCTTCACTGAGGAGATGACACACAATTTATTTTTCGAGAGCCAGTATTTGTTTCTTAACTGGCTGTGCAGTGAACTGAGGTCTCTCAGGTCTGTAGAGTGAACTGAGGTCTCTCAGGTCCGTAGAGTGAATTGAGGTCTCTCAGGTCTGTAGAGTGAACTGAGGTCTCTCAGGTCTGTAGAGTGAATTGAGGTCTCTCAGGTCTGTAGAGTGAACTGAGGTCTCTCAGGTCTGTAGAGTGAACTGAGGTCTCTCAGGTCTGTAGAGTGAACTGAGGTCTCTCAGGTCTGTAGAGTGAACTGAGGTCTCTCAGGTCTGTAGAGTGAACTGAGGTCTCTCAGGTCTGTAGAGTAAGTTGAGGTCTCTCAGGTCTGTAGAGTGAACTGAGATCTCTCAGGTCTGTAGAGTGAACTGAGGTCTCTCAGGTCTGTAGAGTGAACTGAGGTCTCTCAGGTCTGTAGAGTGAACTGAGGTCTCTCAGGTCTGTAGAGTGAACTGAGGTCTCTCAGGTCTGTAGAGTGAACTGAGGTCTCTCAGGTCTGTAGAGTGAACTGAGGTCTCTGAGGTCTGTAGAGTGAACTGAGGTCTCTCAGGTCTGTAGAGTGAACTGAGGTCTCTCAGGTCTGTAGAGTGAACTGAGGTCTCTCAGGTCTGTAGAGTGAACTGAGGTCTCTGAGGTCTGTAGAGTGAACTGAGGTCTCTGAGTTCTGTAGAGTGAACTGAGGTCTCTGAGGTCTGTAGAGTGAACTGAGGTCTCTGAGGTCTGTGCAGTGAACTGAGGTCTCTGAGTTCTGTAGAGTGAACTGAGGTCTCTCAGGTCTGTAGAGTGAACTGAGGTCTCTCAGGTCTGTAGAGTGAACTGAGGTCTCTCAGGTCTGTAGAGTGAACTGAGGTCTCTGAGGTCTGTAGAGTGAACTGAGGTCTCTGAGGTCTGTGCAGTGAACTGAGGTCTCTGAGGTCTGTGCAGTGAACTGAGGTCTCTCAGGTCTGTAGAGTGAACTGAGGTCTCTCAGGTCTGTAGAGTGAACTGAGGTCTCTCAGGTCTGTAGAGTGAACTGAGGTCTCTCAGGTCTGTAGAGTGAACTGAGGTCTCTCAGGTCTGTAGAGTGAACTGAGGTCTCTGAGGTCTGTAAAGTGAACTGAGGTCTCTGAGGTCTGTAGAGTGAACTGAGGTCTCTGAGGTCTGTAGAGTGAACTGAGGTCTCTGAGGTCTGTAGAGTGAACTGAGGTCTCTGAGGTCTGTAGAGTGAACTGAGGTCTCTGAGGTCTGTAGAGTGAACTGAGGTCTCTGAGGTCTGTAGAGTGAACTGAGGTCTCTGAGGTCTGTAGAGTGAACTGAGGTCTCTGAGGTCTGTAGAGTGAACTGAGGTCTCTGAGGTCTGTAGAGTGAACTGAGGTCTCTGAGGTCTGTAGAGTGAACTGAGGTCTCTGAGGTCTGTAGAGTGAACTGAGGTCTCTGAGGTCTGTAGAGTGAACTGAGGTCTCTGAGGTCTGTAGAGTGAACTGAGGTCTCTCAGGTCTGTAGAGTGAACTGAGGTCTCTGAGGTCTGTAGAGTGAACTGAGGTCTCTGAGGTCTGTAGAGTGAACTGAGGTCTCTGAGTTCTGTAGAGTGAACTGAGGTCTCTGAGGTCTGTAGAGTGAACTGAGGTCTCTGAGGTCTGTAGAGTGAACTGAGGTCTCTGAGGTCTGTAGAGTGAACTGAGGTCTCTGAGGTCTGTAGAGTGAACTGAGGTCTCTGAGGTCTGTAGAGTGAACTGAGGTCTCTGAGGTCTGTAGAGTGAACTGAGGTCTCTGAGGTCTGTAGAGTGAACTGAGGTCTCTCAGGTCTGTAGAGTGAACTGAGGTCTCTGAGGTCTGTAGAGTGAACTGAGGTCTCTGAGGTCTGTAGAGTGAACTGAGGTCTCTGAGGTCTGTAGAGTGAACTGAGGTCTCTGAGGTCTGTAGAGTGAACTGAGGTCTCTCAGGTCTGTAGAGTGAACTGAGGTCTCTGAGGTCTGTAGAGTGAACTGAGGTCTCTCAGGTCTGTAGAGTGAACTGAGGTCTCTCAGGTCTGTAGAGTGAACTGAGGTCTCTGAGTTCTGTAGAGTGAACTGAGGTCTCTCAGGTCTGTAGAGTGAACTGAGGTCTCTCAGGTCTGTAGAGTGAACTGAGGTCTCAGAGGTCTGTAGAGTGAACTGAGGTCTCTGAGGTCTGTAGAGTGAACTGAGGTCTCTCAGGTCTGTAGAGTGAACTGAGGTCTCTCAGGTCTGTAGAGTGAACTGAGGTCTCTCAGGTCTGTAGAGTGAACTGAGGTCTCTGAGGTCTGTAAAGTGAACTGAGGTCTCTGAGGTCTGTAGAGTGAACTGAGGTCTCTCAGGTCTGTAGAGTGCTTCTTGGGGATGCCATTCCCTTAAGGGTGCAGAACATTGTTCAACAGTTGGTCTGCTTAGCCTACACTTAACCGTTAGTGAAACAAAACTCACACTTGTGGAAGTGAAGGCATTATAAGTAGCATTACCTTTTTGAATATGGCTGATATAAACCACCAAAACAAATAACTTTTAAACATAAAATATTTATGTTTAAAGGCTCAAATAAAAGCCCAACAAGCAAAGAGACTGTTTATAAAATAATACTCAGATATGCTGAAGCATAGGCATTAAACAGTAAGCAACAGTTAACCCAACAGACATGCAGTTTGTAAAACCATCACTGAGGCTAGGAAGGCAGTGAAATAGCACACAGACAGGCCAGACACAGCAGTGACCTGGTGCAATCAAACAGTGCCTTCACTCACCAACAGGCCAGACACAGCAGTGACCTGGTGCAATCAAACAGTGCCTTCACTCACCAACAGGCCAGACACAGCAGTGACCTGGTGCAATCAAACAGTGCCTTCACTCACCAACAGGCCAGACACAGCAGTGACCTGGTGCAATCAAACAGTGCCTTCACTCACCAACAGGCCAGACACAGCAGTGACCTGGTGCAATCAAACAGTGCCTTCACTCACCAACAGGCCAGACACAGCAGTGACCTGGTGCAATCAAACAGTGCCTTCACTCACCAACAGGCCAGACACAGCAGTGACCTGGTGCAATCAAACAGTGCCTTCACTCACCAACAGGCCAGACACAGCAGTGACCTGGTGCAATCAAACAGTGCCTTCACTCACCAACAGGCCAGACACAGCAGTGACCTGGTGCAATCAAACAGTGCCTTCACTCACCAACAGGCCAGACACAGCAGTGACCTGGTGCAATCAAATAGTGCCTTCACTCACCAACAGGCCAGACACAGCAGTGACCTGGTGCAATCAAACAGTGCCTTCACTCACCAACAGGCCAGACACAGCAGTGACCTGGTGCAATCAAACAGTGCCTTCACTCACCAACAGGCCAGACACAGCAGTGACCTGGTGCAATCAAACAGTGCCTTCACTCACCAACAGGCCAGACACAGCAGTGACCTGGTGCAATCAAACAGTGCCTTCACTCACCAACAGGCCAGACACAGCAGTGACCTGGTGCAATCAAACAGTGCCTTCACTCACCAACAGACTAAGATGACAAAAACCAGTATCTAACAAAAATGAAGAGGATACCCACACCAATGTTCTCCTCAAAACTGGCTTCATGGCCTCTCTAGAGATGGACAATCTGTCACAATCAGACTAAGGACAGAGACTACAGGCTTCATCAACGTTTGTCCAATGTAGGAAGCATAGAGATGTGTCCCTGTGATTTGGCACATGAAAATGCCCAGCATGTACTCCAACACTGTAGACTGTATGCTGCTAACAGAGAAGCAATCTGGCCCATTTCAAATTCAATCATAGCAATGCTGTATGGTACACAGGAAAGTCTGGACAGTACAACAGCTGTTATCAAAGCTACCAGCCTCCTGGTGTTGGTTTTTTTTAACAAAAGGACCGAAGAAGAAAAAGAAGTAAGTAATTGGTAAACAGAAACTGCTTATTAAACAAAACTCTTACATTTGTAAGTGTAGGCATTAAAAGGCAACAATACCTTCTTGAAATGAGGATTGATATACTTCAGCTTATGGGGAGCAATGACAATCAGCTCAAAACGTTTGAACTCTACAGAATCATCATCATCCACAGGATTTGCTGACGCCATGATTTTAGATTTGATGATCTGCTAGAGGCAGTTAGAACAAAATATTTCTAATTAAATCATAAATGTTTCAGCTAAACAAGAACAAAAATAATTAGAAAAGTTTTCATTCAGTTATGAAATACATGGTTCAAAAATACAGGCAGTGCAATTACTAAATAAGTAAGTGCCAGATATATATATATATATTTATATATATATAAGTAAAGTAAACACTGGGTAGCAGAATCATATTTGTATAGACCAATCAGTGCTCACTTGGCGCTGAGATCAATCCCAATTTTGAAAGAAAAAAAACCCAATCTGATGTGGATTCGAACAAAAGATCTTTGGGCCAGCAAGTGAGTTACTATCTGCTAAGCTATCATGACTCCCCGAAGAATATGTCTTAATATACAACAAAAATGCTACATGATGCTGAGGTACTGGCCTCCCATTAGAAACATTTAGAAATATTGAGTCTAGATATGGCCTTACTGCTATAAACATCTGGAAATATAGACCCTAGACACTGGGCTGCCAGTTTGAATCTTTGAAGATAATGACCTTAGACATGGGCCTACTTTTACAAGCACTTAACTATCAACTCCACACATAGGCCTGCTGCCACAAACATTCAAAATACTGACTCTAGATGCAGGCCTACCGTCACAAACATTCAGAATACTGACTTTGGCATTTAGAAGTACTGACTCTAGCATTGAAGAGTACCGACTTATGGCCTACTGCTATAAACATTTACAAGTACTGACTCGAGATAAAGGCCTTATGTCACACTGACAATGAGTTTGATTTTTAAATAACTGACCAACCTCCCAATGTGGGTTCTAGGGCGCCATTTGTGTGGGTGTGTGTGGGGGAGGAAAAGACACACTGCAACTCCCCTACCCCAACAATCATGTCATAAAACCCAACTGATTAGGTGGTTCTTGTGAAACTGGAGTGCATGTGCCTCAGATGCGAAGAATCAACAGTCTACAAACAAATTAACTAGGTCAGTGAAATGGACGCCAGACATTTCAGCCAGAAAAGGCAAAAGAAATAAGAAAAAAAGAAGAAAATCAACTGATGGGGGGGGGGGGGGGGTGTAAGTAAATTTCTGGGAAATGAAGGCAGTCAACATTATACAAACCACATCACTTGTCGATAGCTGATTAGTCTACACAAATATAATTTGAGTGGGTTCCAAGGCCCCATTGTGGGGAAAACAAGAATAGACACTGCTTCCCCAACAATCATGTTGTAAGAGTCGACTAACTGAGGACATTCTTTCAAAGTCTGAGTATATCTGCCTGAGAGGCAAGGAACCACAAGTCTGCATATAAATAAGCCAGACCTGTAAAATGGATGTGCACATAGCACTCAGTTTCTGGAACAAAACTAAAATCTGGAGATGGGCAAACAACCAGAGCTTTCCACAGGAGTTTAACACAGGTGAAGACAAAGAAGTAACAAAATATGTCTTGTTTTTGTTTTAAATAGAATAGTTTTTTTTATCAAAAGACAGATGAAATGTATTCTGTAGGAATTAAAGGCAAGTGAGCAAAAAAGAAAACTGGAAGGCGAATGTTCAATAATGGACATGCTACAGTAGTGCCATACACTGCTGATGATTAAGTGCTGTAGGGTATGATTAAGTGCTGTAGGGGATTCTGATTCACTGTAGGGGATTCTGATTCACTGTAGGGGATTCTGATTCACTGTAGGGGATTCTGATTCACTGTAGGGGATTCTGATTCACTGTAGGGGATTCTGATTCACTGTAGGGGATTCTGTTTCACTGTAGGGGATTCTGATTCACTGTAGGGGATTCTGATTCACTGTAGGGGATTCTGATTCACTGTAGGGGATTCTGATTCACTGTAGGGGATTCTGATTCACTGTAGGGGATTCTGATTCACTGTAGGGGATTCTGATTCACTGTAGGGGATTCTGATTCACTGTAGGGGATTCTGATTCAATGTAGAGGATTCTGATTCACTGTAGGGGATTCTGATTCACTGTAGGGGATTCTGATTCACTGTAGGGGATTCTGATTCACTGTAGGGGATTCTGTTTCACTGTAGGAGATTCTGATTCACAGTGCTTATTCTTGATGTCACTGACAGATGCAATGCATGGGGTTATAAAGGAGGAGGAGAAGAAGAAGGAGGAGGTGGAGAAGAAGAACAACAACAATACAAAACTAATAAACACAATTTTATTTTTAAAGGATCACAAATTGGTCATGTAGGCCAAAAGAAGGAAAACAACAACTTCAAAGATAATTCAACTTTTGTAAGTGATATGAACAAATTCAAAACCAGGCCTGTGGAACATTTTCCCCGTTGTCTCTGTCAATGCAAGGGTTTAAACAGCAAAGTGCATGATGTGATTATAACTGAATCACAAAGTAGGCTGAGAAGGCAGAAAAGACATGTTTTTGTGCAGTGGCAAGCATGACATCAAACGTCCGTGGTAATTAGCATTCTCTGGATCTTTCCTTGCCTACATGTAGGTGTGCTGGCAAACGAACAGGCTGATGCTGTACTGCTGAGACGTGAACTGATGCACATCAAGCTAGATGAGGTCAAGGTCCTTGGGGAGCAAGCCAATAATGCTGACCTGCGAACAGACCATAATGGGGACAGAACTGTGTGTGTGCGTGTGTGTGTGCGTGTGTGTGTGCGTGTGTGTGTAGGAAGGAGGTAAGGGATTCTGGCTGACACTCTACACTCAGAGCAAAGACAAGATGAGCCAATAATCAAACTCTGATGTCAGTTCTGAGTTCAGTTAAACCCATCAGAGTTCAGTTCTGAGTTCAGTTAAACCCATCAGAGTTCAGTTCTGAGTTCAGTTAAATCCATCAGAGTTCAGTTCTGAGTTCAGTTATACCCATCAGAGTACACAGCAGTGACCTAGCATGTGTGTAATCTTCAAAAAGTTGTTTTTCTTTTACCTCTTCTTATTCTTCTTTGCATTCCTCAGCTGTAAACTTTAATCTTGTTTTATAACTCAAGTTTTGCATGCACATCTATTTTACTGATCTGGCTCATTCGTATGCAGATTGTTAGTTCGTCACCTCACAACTGATGCAGTCTGACTTTAAAGAAAACATAACCTTTGAGTTGAATTCTATGACATGCTTGTTTAATAGGGGAATTATTTCGCACCCTCTCCCCACACCATGGGGAGTTTGTAACCATGCACCATTCATCTGACATGGAGTTATTTAGTGTGTACTTGATGATCAATGTATCCGGTCAGCTCCATCTGACACAGAATTATTTAGTGTGTGCTTGATGATTAATGTATCCGGTCAGCTCCTTCTGACATGGAATTATTTTGTGTGTGCTTGATGATCAATGTATCCGGTCAGCTTCATCTGACACAGAATTATTTAGTGCGTGCTTGATGATCACTGTATCCGGTCAGCTTCATCTGACACAGAATTATGTAGTGTGTGCTTGATGATCAATGTATCCGGTCAGCTTCATCTGACACAGAATTATTTAGTGTGTGCTTAATGATCACTGTATCCGGTCAGCTTCATCTGACACAGAATTATTTTGTGTGTGCTTGATGATCAATGTGTCCGGTCAGCTTCATCTGACACAGAATTATTTAGTTTGTGCTTGATGATCACTGTATCCGGTCAGCTCCATCTGACATGGAATTATTTAGTGTGTGCTTGATGATCAATGTATCCGGTCAGCTCCATCTGACACAGAATTATTTAGTGTGTGCTTGATGATCAATGTATCCGGTCAGCTCCATCTGACACAGAATTTTTTAGTGTGTGCTTGATGATCAATGTATCCGGTCAGCTCCATCTGACACAGAATTGTTTAGTGTGTACTGGATGATCAATGTATCCGGTCAGCTCCATCTGACATGGAATTATTTAGTGTGTGCTTGATGATCAATGTATCCGGTCAGCTCCATCTGACATGGAATTATTCTGTGTGTGCTTGATGATCAATGTATCCGGTCAGCTCCATCTGACATGGAATTATTTAGTGTGTGTTTGATGATCACTGTATCCGGTCAGCTCCATCTGGGGTGCCACCTGATGTTTACCACCTTGAGGTTTAAACAAAATCTCATATGTGAATGGGAGATCAACCAAGCAGATTACAGTCTCCACCCCCAGAAATGTTATAATTAGGGCACAGTAACCGCTACACTAGCATGGTATAACCTGCCGTCCTGTATGTTAACTAACTGCGCTTGAAAGCCACGACGACATTAAAGCAGAAGTTAACCAAAGGAGGCGGATAATATTATCCAGTTTCATCCTTTTTAGGATGAAATTTTTTGTTATTTGAAGCCCCACCTTATCTTTTGCCAGGGGCCGCAATATAGGCAGGCCATAAATATGGCCAAAGGTCTGAACGCGGTTTCTGGGACCTCTCCACGGCGATCCTCATCCACATGGTGGCACTTTGTGTCATCGGGTGTTTATCGCTTGTGTGATGTCCTGGTGGGGTAGAAAGTCAGTCAGTCAGTCAAAGGAGGCGGACAGTTATATTACCATAAGGCTTCAGGTACATATATGAAACTTGTAATATTTCTAATAATCAACTGGATATAATATTTATATGCAAAAATGTACCAGAGGCGTAGCTCACAGAGATATTGGCACAGATGTACCAGAGGCGTAGCTTACAGAGATATTGGCACAGATGTACCAGAGGCGTAGCTTACAGAGATATTGGCACAGATGTACCAGAGGCGTAGCTTACAGAGATATTGGCACAGATGTACCAGAGGCGTAGCTTACAGAGATATTGGCACAGATGTACCAGAGGCGTAGCTTACAGAGATATTGGCACAGATGTACCAGAGGCGTAGCTTACAGAGATATTGGCACAGATGTACCAGAGGCGTAGCTCACAGAGATATTGGCACAGATGTACCAGAGGCGTAGCTTACAGAGATATTGGCACAGATGTACCAGAGGCGTAGCTTACAGAGATATTGGCACAGATGTACCAGAGGCGTAGCTTACAGAGATATTGGCA